TTTTTGTTTGTCAATGTACGACAGGCTCCTGCCAATTAAATACTCTTCTGCTAGGTGGCAGCAGATGGCTATGAGTTATGAGTGAGGGTCTTTCTTCAATTCCTGCCAGTATATTAGCGTTGTCTTTAGCTAAGCAGGAGTACAGTTTTAGTAAATATAATTGGAATATTATTATATTTTATTACATATACCTCCTCCCCAATCAGACCAATCAAAAATCAGTGCGTCATATAGTGATAATCACATATAAATACTTTGCTTGTTGCCCATTGCGCTCAGCCTAATGTTGAATAAATGGCACTCCCTCATTCAGGCCGAGAAATATGGAAGCAATTTGAAGGGGGTGTGTGGTAATCTAGGACCAATCAAAGTGACCCCTCACTACAAAGCAGGAGAGATTGAAACAAATATCCGCGTAATGTTGATTCCTTCCTCACGTCCGTTGTTTCCCTGCCTGTAAAACTTCTTAAAGGGGAGTTCCAGTAGAAGGATTCGTGAGGACAAGAGATTGACTTGCTGAGTTTGGTCTGAAAAGAAATGTCTGGATGTTAATGTTTCAGCCGTTTATTTGGACACTTGAGATGGCAGTGGCATTAAACCAGATCATAGGAGCTTTGAGCCCATACTCTCTGTTGTAACCACTTTAGTTTTTGCTTCAGCCACTTAGCTACTCAGGCTGTCACAGAAATCCGAGAAGTGATTTTAGCACCTGGGCTCGTCTTTTTTGTTTTTGTTCTCAGTTTCTGTGCCAAATAAAAAATAATTTTGTCCACTGACTCTTTAGGCTGCAGTTCAATATCACACTGGATATTTTTGACAAGCAGGACTCACATCTGTTTTCAATGTTTTCATACGAAACAAACAAAATCTTCTTCCCGTAGCATGTGCGCTGTTTTTATTTAAATGAGTGGACGGCGACAGGAAGGAATGCTCAGGGTTGGACGCTTTTCATTGTCCCCTTCCAAACGTCTTCAAATTTTTGGGATTTAACAACAATCAAATAAAATCTGTCCATCACTTCAAGGGCATTTAAAAAAATCAAATGAACAATTTAATCAGGAACATCTGCCACACATGACAAAAAGCAGTAAATCTGGCACTGGCATCTAAAGACCATTGTAGAAGTTAACCCACCTCCCTTAATGAAAGGAAGCCTCACATATAAAAGTAGAAATAATATTAAAGCTTGCATAAAATCTTGACTGAGTTCTCATGCTATTTTTGAACTGACTCTTTTTTTTATCCTTTGATGCGTTTGTGTGACACCAGTCCGTTGAACAGCTTGTGGCCGCAGAATGTTAGATCAGAGAAGTACAGTGAAAGAAAAAAAACCTAGTGATGAAATACTAAGTCAATTGTCTTGACGCCTTAACTGATCTGTGACCGTTTGTGGGGGGCCACGTCGTTCCATTTATGGGATCGTCACAGCTGATCCTAATGCTTTTGGCGAGGTGACTGTTTTCCATCTCGGGCCTTCTCGCTGTAACAGAGAGGTTTCACATCAGGAGTGGCTAACGCAGTTTCTGCCACATGCTGCGCAGCACACAATCACCCACGCAATAGGCACAACCTCGTCTAAAATCACAGCGCACACTGGTGACCTAATTTCTGTCCTTCATTTACATGATTACGTTTACTCAGTATAACTCAGCCAGACAGCCGGCAAACACGGCGGCGTTTCACACATCCTTCTGTGAATGAAGCCGTGCTGCTCCTCTCTTTAACCCCTCTCACGAGTGTTAGTTATCGGGCTATTTTTTTCTGCGTTTGTTGACTCCTTGACTGAGGGCGCAGCCTGCTCTGTCGACCCGTCGTCCAGATTTACTGTGATTACATGGAGGAGTGTTTACTTTTCCCAGAGTACTTAGCTCGCAGAGTCTTTGATCCTTATTAATTCAGCCTCGCTCTCTTTTCATCTGCTTGTCTTTGATAGCTTAAAGCGAAGCCCTGCCATCCTGAGAGGTGTCCCCTCAATGTAGGCTCTGTGAAGAAGGAGCTCATTATTTAACAGAGGTTTAAAATAAAAAAAATCCTCTTAATTCCAACAAACCTGGTTAGTCATTTAGTTTCAAATCCTGTCAAAGGTTAAGAAAATGAAGAGATTATTTAAATTATTTTTAGTCAATTTCTAACACAAATACCAAGGTGTAATTGTGAGAAATATTAAAATAATTTCAATTTCTTTGTAAGAATTACTTTTTATAATTATATATGAACTAATATGCATTAAATGATAATTATAGTGGCTCAAAAAATATCTCTACTAAAATACCTTGCAGTTATTTTGATAACCTAAATAAAATAACCTAAATGTTCATAGCAAAAAAATACATAATATATATAATGTAATTAAAATATTGACACACACTAATAAAAGTGTTTGCTTAATTTTTATTAATAATTTCCATCCTGAGATTTAATTTTGCAAATAAGTCAAATTTATTTTAATTCTACAGAATTGTGCAAACCAACCTTTACATAACATGTCTGAATATTCACAACGGGTGCGGGGAGAAAAGAATTAAGTCAAAACAAAGGACAAATGGATCTGGACAGGCAAAGACTAAAGGAGAGAGGGAAAATGGAACAAGATGTAGATAGTATAAAGAGAATGAACCAAACACAAGCAAGATGTCCACATAAAAATAAAATAAATGCAATAAGGATGTTGTGTAGTAAAAACAGGGGAATTTGATATTATTTCCACTGTGTAATCATAAATCTTTTTATGGAATCACTTCAAGATCTACTAGCTTCCGACTAAAAACTGCAAACTCCCAGAGGTGTCACTGTCTGTTCTTTATCTGTGGAGCTGCATGCTTTGCATGATCTGCTATCTCCCAGCAACATGCTGGAGGACACACACACACACACACACACAAAATGGCCAGCATTTAACAGCATATACTGCTGGGTTCCCTTTTAAAACCTTTTAAAGGGGGAGGCAGTGGTTTTGGGGTGAGGTCTACAAAAGTCCATTTACAGTACGGGTCAGTTCATCTGAAAGGCTTTACCACTGCTGCCAAACTCTTTGTCTCCCTCATTCATGGCCGGTCACCTCCACTGTGGCCCCCAACAAAGACAATTGGCTTTATATTGTCCACACTGACATTAACCCCTGATTTTTCACTGCTCTCCATTAAAATCCTCTTTTCTGTCTCTATAACCAGGCAATTTTCACAGAGCAAGAGGTCACACCGACCACCGAGAGATACTTGGATACTTTCTAACAAAGACAAAAAAAGAAACATATACTGCAGTAGAGATTAGTTCCGTCTTTTTGTTGTCTTTACTCTTTTTTTTTTTTGTCCTCACTTTAGACACAATTGGTTTTCAACAGCCTGGATGAGGGCTGCTCTACAGCTGTGCTATTACCTGGCTCGGTCCGAAACAGCAGACCATTCATGGGCAGTTTACCCACACGGCGACTGTTCCGCTCCACCACGGCGGTGTTGTGTTGACAGAAGAATGTGGAGGAAATTCATGTTAGCAGCAGGTTCATGTCACTGGCACGTTCATTCTTTACATTAGGTTCTTTATTGCGCAGAGTATGGTATGTCCAGGGGAGACGTCTCAGATAGGTCAGACAGGGGTCAGCTGAATAGTCACACGCCTCTGTGATAAGACTGGCTGGAACTGTCCAGGTTCAGCATTTCCAGACGAAACAAGTCATAATGAAGGCCCTATCTAATCTGCTGAGGCATGATGAAATTACTCTAATGTCATCTTAGGTTTTTCTTGCGATTATTTCACATGCTTTCCGTGTGTCTGTGTGCCAGTCCATTTCTTAAACCAAATTAAACATTTGCCCTGCGGCGGTGTTCAACCTTCTTCTTTACTGGAATGACGAAAGATAAAACAAATGTGGCAATCTTTGAGACATATCGTGAGTTTTAGCGGTTTGTTATAAAAGTGCGTCAGACATTCCAGTCAACTCTATCAGCTTTAAACAATCGCTCTTCATTTGTTGAGAAACATGTCCTCACTTTAACGACAGCATGCACGTCCACGTCCACGTCAAGTTTCTTGTGACAGACAGCAGTGGGTGGACACGAAGGGCAAACACATATGGACACTGTTGTCCCCAACTGCCAAGCTGAGGAATGCCAGTGACTGTGGGGTCCTTGTGGGTGTAGATGGAAGGCCTGTACGCAGTTCAGCTGACATTTACTCCAAAAATGAGTACAAAAAAAATCCATCCTAAACAATGACAACATGACTCAAGTTTTTGTTCTTTTTTTTTTTGCTACATATTTTCTGTTATAATAGCCGTTATTTTTTTTCTTTTTACATCAACCAAATCATCAACGACAATCAAAAATGAGGGAAAAACTGTGAGAAAAATGTGGCATCATAAAATGTATCTAAATGACTGTTGGTAATGTTCTTCTCAGCCCTGTTTGGGCCTTTGTGGTTGTTTTGGCAGTGTGTGTGTGTGAGTGTGTGTGACTCCAGTGAGTTTGTATCTCACTGATGCCCTGTATCATGTGAGCTCTCAGCATGGGACCTACGTCCTCCACAGCTACTTCTGTCGGTGTAAAATCACGAAAAACCACTTGAGCCAACACAACGCTGGTCATATCTGCGTTCTCCGCAGCGCGGAGACCAACAGTCTCAATGTATGTTAAATATTTCTTTTTCTGCTGAAATTTTTCTGAATTCGATGTTTGTTCATTGGAGGTCTGGCTCTGGAACAGCTGGGATAAGAGTGACCGAGAGCCTTTGTAATGGTTTTTGTGAGGAGCTGGAATGGCCAAACAAACACTTTCCCAGGGTTGGAGTGATCCCTAAAGGCACAAGCCAGCAACTCATTACCGACTGTGCCGATCTAAAGTCACACTAAGATTTAAAGGATGATAAAATGTTATTTTACAAAACGCTGCCTCTGAATTCTGCTTGTTTAGAAAAAAACATTATGTCATCAAATACGTAAGTAATGGTGCGGCTAAAGAAAATAAACCTTCATAATCTGCTGCAAAGATCACATGAAAATCTCTTTGTTATTTTATAAATATTTCTTTCTTTATTTCAGTATACAAAATAACAGTATGTACATCCACAGAGAAGTGGTTTACAAATTCCATGAGTTCAGCTCATATGCTCTAAAAAATAGAATATATATTGGAGCTGCCTGCACGTCAGTCAGACATAAAAGAGATAATGCATCACTTCTCCAAGCTCGTTATTGTCCGCTCTCATTCCACAGGGATGCAGGCACGTCATGATCCACACTGGATCCATGGTGGGAGTCAACCACAAAAATGTTCCATGACTTAAAAGTACTTAAAGTTCCCTTTGTGTTCCATTTTCCTCTATTGTCCATTCTCCTGCTGAGGAAAAAGTTCTAATAGTACCTTTTAAAAAAAGTACCACATAGTTCCACCAGAAACTTCCAACTCCATGGAATAAAAAAAAGTCTCTAGTGAGGAAAAAAGAAAATCCTCTCCTCCATCATAAAATTCAATATAATTTCTTTTAATAGACATAATAAAATAAACTTTCAATATCCCTGGTGAGGGAAATGTATTTTCATTTACATGACAAAACAAAAAAAAAATATGAGGACGGCGTCTTCACTTGATTCGACTGACACACCACGCTCTCCACATCCAGGTTTGCCATCCAGAAGAAGAAGAAGCCTGATTGGCAGCTGGTAGATCTGATACAAAAATGATACTGATGCAAGAAAAAAAAAACGTTCCTTGTAGCGATACACATGCTAAAGCTTCGGCGGGATTAAGCCTCCTTTGTATTTGTAGTGCTTTGGTTAATCTGGAGCCTGGTGTGGCTGAGTACATGTGGAGGACCTGGTGTGGCTGTTAGCAGGCGAGGACTCATTTGCAGACGTATCGCTCTACGATCCGCTCACATTTCTTGCAGGTGACGTAGCAGCACCAGTGGTACTTGCAGTGGCAGCGCTCCACCAGCTTCTCTGAGTACGGGTTGTACCCCCGTCCACAGCACATCAGGTCACAGCTGTCGCTGCCCAGGGATGTTTTGTTGCACTGCCTGTAATCAGCACACAATAAAAAAAAACAAGAAGGTTTTAAGTCCCAGGTCACAGATGTGGAAGATAAGTCTCCCTTCCAACTTTCACTGCAGTTCCTGACTCACACAAAGAAGTTTACAGCTTCATTCTGAAACATTTAATGTTGAATCTCTCAACCAATAGCAACGTCCACAATGGTCTTTTAAAAGTGCTCGACCGACCAGTGGGCCTCGGACCTTTTGTGCCCTCCTGCTCCCAAACATGTTTTTGATTCATTAGCTTTTTGTCTGCTCGTCTATGGGCAGTGGATGCATTTGGAGCCACTTACTTCAGAAGCCTAAGGCATTGCAAATAGCCCCGCCATAAATCTGACCGAATACACAGGGCAGCCCCGCTCTCTCTTTTAGCTCGCCCTCTTCACATAATTGCATTGTTTTATGATGGCGGAGTGTTAATGACCAGTATGCTGAGAGCGATGCTGGGCTGATGGCTCCTGTGGGAGTGAAACAGGAGGAGGAGGAGGAGGGACTGGGTGTAAGACAGGTTTATTACAACACTGAGAGTTGGAAAATAGACAGAAACCCCCACAGTCAAAATTTGTCAGGAGCCAGATTATTGCTGTAAGCTGAGCAGGAGGCTTTGCAATCTGCAGTTTACATTTGCAGCTTTAAGAAGGGACCCATTGATGTGATTTAAAAAGAAAGGTTCGGGTTTTTTTGGGTTTTTTTTGGAGGTGTGGTTGTGTGAGGTACTGACACACGGCCAGTCAATCAGCAACCGACCTGAGACCCTCACACTAGCTTTGCTGGAATCGTGGCCTCTAGCAGGAACACACAGAAATACCAAAACTTCAGAAGTATCTGAGGGATATGTTAGAAAAACAGAACAGTAGCTTTTTAAAGTTTTTGTTCTTTCACATCAAGATCAACTTGATTTCAAAGCACATCTTGCTACATCCACCAATAATAGGATCAGATGTATCATTTGGTCACGTTTGTTATTGCAAACTTTTCTGACAAAACCTGTCACCAAGGAATTCATAAACTTGGTTTAATGCGACCGATTAAAAGACATATAAATGTTAGGTTCCAGTCGGGTGATGAATATGTTTTTTTAACTGGAGATTATTTCATTAGATGTGTTTTTTTTCTCAGTGCGTAGTAGTTTCCGTGAGGATCCAACTGCAGCACAAAACAAAACATTCTGAGTTCTGAGTTTCAAATGAATGTAGGCAGGTGATAATAAAGACCAATCTGTTTTCCAGAAAGACCAGAAAATGTTTGAAAGAATGAGGCGGACGACGATTGCCTCAAGATGGGAAAACTGGGAAGTGGCTAATCACAACAGCGGCGAGGGAACAGAGACTAGCAGGAGGTAAGAAGGGAACTGAGGGGATGAAGATGGGGGTTTTACTTCAGATGGAAGTGGCAGACCCGGTCTCTCAGTAAGAGTCATGTTTAGTCCAGTGAGTCTTTCATTTAAGTAAAAGAACAACGTGGCATGGTGATTAGAATGTAAGTCGTTTAAATACCGGGGACTGATTAGCAGCTGTTGGTGGGTCAGGTAAAGTGGAGGACGATGTTTGTCAGGTTGGAGTCGGCTGACGTCTATATCATGATAAAGTGGCTTAGATGTGGTTTGTGTTTTGTTTTTCAGCAGTCAAGTACACAGTTAAATAAAACTGAACTATCATTGTAACTTAAGGAAAAACTTCACTTCTTTTTTTCAATGACCGTAACAGGTGCTCTTTGGACAATTTATTAAATGACCATCCATTAGAGCCTGAGGTGAAAAATCAATACTGTCCCTCCAACAATTCCTCTAGCGCTCTAACTTAAATAATCTATTTTTTAAACCGGCCAATCAAACTGAGGAGGCACTGTTTTGGCATGTCTTGTCACTGTCCGACATTGCTGACGTTCTCTGACAACACAAATTTGGTTTCCACTGTTTTATGTAAATAGATGAAATTAGCCAAAACACAAATAAAGCTGCAGCAACTCTCTTGGTGATTCTAATGCTTTCAGCACCTGTGCACAACAACAAATGCACACAGTTACGTGGGATGTTTGCGTAGGCTTAAAGGCAACTATAAATCAGGCTCGAGCTCCTCACAGACCACACACCACATTTGAGTGGTGGTAAGTACGCTTGCTTTATCTTTGGGGACTATTAACTATTTCCCCATTTGTGTGGCCCTCTTCAATCAATATCAGCTGCGGTGCACTTAGTCCCTAAAATAACTGCATTAGTCATTGTTTCAGATAGCAGCACAAGCACTCCAGTCACCGCGGTGTTTTCAGTGACACATGCTCAGACAGGCCATAGACAGAGCCCACTCAGGGGCCACAGGCTGTTATCAGCAGTCTCCAGGCTAAACGGGGCCACCACACAGGGTAGCACTTCATCTGAGTCAACAACCTTGATGAGCACACATCCATTTCCTGTTTTTCAGCTGTGTGAGTGTGTCACCGTGGAAAGTATCCCCAAACAACAGAGATCTATCATTACCTCCAGAAAGCCTCGCTGCGTTAATGCACTCAGAGTCAAACAGGGATAATCTCACCTGTCCTGTGTGCCAACGGAGCCCTGCTTCTCATTCTTGGTACAGAAGTCTGGGGAGCTCTGCAGGTAGACTAGCTCATTCTCCCTCACTGGTCTGATGTCGATGTCCTTTGGCACCAGCTGCTTGCGTGTCCCCATGGGCCTGTGAACCACCTTGGTGGCCGACAGGTACTTGGTCTTCAGGTCCATGGCGATTTCCCTCAAGTCTTGCAGTCCTCTCCAGCAGGTTCTTATGGAGCAGGAGCCGGAGACACCGTGGCATTTACATTTCATAACCAACGCCTCTCTGAGTGCCTAGAAATGAGAGACAAGAGTCTCTAAATAAATGTGAGCTCCAAAAACACAAAATCAAATACATAATTAGACATGTGTAAGAATTCCCTCACCTGTCTGCCCACTTCACTGTTGTGCAGATGCATGAGTTTGTTAGCGTGCGAGCCTGAGCGTTTCATTTTCATGGGGGCATCAGAGAACTTTGAGCCCATCAATAAACCGAAGTGTAGGTTATCAGCACAGCCACCCCAGCGATAGCCGGGTTCTGGGATCTCCGATGGGATTGGACCACAGGAGCACAGACGCAGGTCTCCAGAGGTGCATGCTCTGGCTATAGTGTGGCTGATGGTTGCAGCAGACAGGGCATAGACGAAGGCAGCTTCCCTCGTTCCTGTAGGAACAGAGAGCAAAGAAAATGAATATGCTGAAAAATAAAATATCACCGTTGTGATAGAAATATCAGAAAAACAATCTTTGTAATAAAAGACAAGGTCGTTAATTGTCCATCCTGCTTTGTCCAATCTTTACTCTAGTTTTCCTCTGTGAACTCATTGAGTTTTTCCAGTGACTGAAGTCGATGGATCAAATTGTTCTGTAGTTTTCTGAGCTTTTCACCCAACCTTTTACCATCTGTCCTGTGAGATCTGATCACACAGATCCAGCTCTAATCCATCCTGACATGACCCTTTGACCCCCACCGTGGCCTGGTATTTTAAAAACCATGACATTATTTGTCACATCGACAGACAAAAATGCAAAGTTTGCTTGTGACGAACACAGATGGCCTGTTGGTTTCCATTGTTTACTGCAGATTTACTCTGAGTAAAGGATCGTTCCCCCGGTAATCAGTACCTGTAGAATTGCTCAGTTGAAGCTTCTGCGTAAGCAGTGACACGTTTTCTCTAAGCTCTTTTCTTTCAGTATTTTCTTGACTTTTCATGAGGATTCATTCTCTGAAATCATTAAACCCACATAACATAGTATTATCTTCACAAAGATATGGGCAAAAATGTTTTCTTAGAAGTGACTTCAGGTTTCTGTCTGTTTTAATCTCTCTTTATTGGGTTTGTATCAAAAATAATGTAGAAAATGTGCTCCGAGACTTGTTTGATCATATTTGTGCATGATTTCTGAAAGCTTTTAGCTGGAGATGAAACACATGAACTGACTTTACTTCAACATAAGTTGGTGGGACTGTGTTTTTTTTTTTTTTTTAGCTCCACAGCGTCAACAACACTTTAATCAATACTTGACTGTTCTGTTCATTAGTGACAATGAACTCAGCACAAACATTATGAGGAGTGATTGATTTGTGATTATATGGTTAAATCTTGGTCAAAATTTTTTTTTTTGTTTAATATTGTATTTTAAACAGCTCAGATCTCATGCATTACAGAGTTAGGTGTTGACAGCCGAAACTATAGGCTGTAAAGAGTAATAATGAAACGTACATTTAAAATAACTATACTTTAATTGATCATACAATGTTTATTTTGTTGTTGTTTATCTTTTGACTGATGAAACATTTTTGTATAAATATGTTTGTTAAGTTTCATCTGGCAACACTTTAGCAGAAAATATTTAACAAATGTTTTTAACTGCCCCCCCACCCCGAAAAAAGTGCCTGTGCAAATGTAAGAGACTTTAGACACGGCTCGTCACTGGGTGTGCTGCAGTGCAGAGTGAACGCTGATGTGATTGGCACTGATGTGCATGCACTAAAAGCACACATGTTAAAGGCCAGGGAGCAATTGAAAGTAAGGAAGGAAAATCACGTATGACCGAAGGGCGGTTAGATCAAAGCCCTGCTGGGACAGAGATGAGCCATTTCCTCTCCACTGCAGACTGTTCATTTGGCAAATGGTAGCTATGCCTTTTCTGGGGAGTCGTGCAAATCCTCCCACCACTGCAACCCAACAGTAACAGTCTTTGCCTAATTCAAGGACCTGCAGGCAAGAGTGCGGTCAGCTACGCACTGCTGTAGATTTCAGAAATAACAAACCAATTATTAAATCACACAGAATATATGCAGGCTGTAAAAGAAGGTATGCTCAAATTACGGCTTCAGTGCAAATCCCTAGTGACGGCTGCACAGCGATAAAAATTGAATAATTTGTCTGAGAGTTGAGGTGATGGGAGGAGGAGGCCATGTCATCATAAAAGCAGAAATCATTTTTGAAAAGGACATGATTCCGCAGGTATCGGAGTTCTCTCAAAGGCAGGCGTGTAAACATATTTCTGAAAATGTAACGTGGCATCTGAGCACTGACACCATAAAGACTGGAGGATGTTTCCAGCAGTACCAGAAAACTGAGCCGCAGAACATATGACATTCACTGACCCTGGTTTTGGAAATTCGTTGATTGACAACCGTGAACATAAGTTTAAGACTTGGGGTTTAGAAGAAAAAAAACTAGCTCTTTGTCCGCGCTGTCAATTCAGAACATTTGTGACGTACCTCTGTCAAGGTCTGGACGATATTTTGCCGCATCAGAGGAGATCTCAATGGAAGAACAGTTCCAGCGCATATCGGCGAAGGTTTTCTGACACGTTTTCTTGACCTCGCGGGCAGCTTGAACGATGGTTTGCATGAGCTCCAGGTTGCTGCGGCACAGCTGAGCCTGGGAGGACACCAGACCAGGCAGCAGCTTACAGTGATTAGTCTGGTTGACGTGTAAAGATGCAGGAACATGTGACAGTGCTCTATATCAGGAAAAATGAGAGAATATGACACTTTGAACAAGCTAATACAGGCAATTACAACAATTTAATAATCCCATATTTTTTGTTTTTATGTGCTTTGCGAGATGCGTTTGGTTTGTGGGATTACCCAAAACATGACTTTTCTGTTAGCGGGGTTTTAGAAGCAGTTTTCTTGTGTGCATTAATTTCAAGTCCATGAGAGGCATCGGCTTTGAACTAAGCCTTGAAAAGTTGAAACAGATAACGCTTAAGGCAGTGAAATATTTTGGCCTGTGTCACATAATAGAAGCATCTTATCAAAGTGAAAATCCCAGGGGTATGCAGGTCAGCTGTGGATTCATAAAATATATGTGACACGTTCTTGGCTTTTATGCGTTCCTTTTGGTAAAACAGTCAGGAAACCGTAGGATAAGAATGAAAAAAATAAAAATGATCTGCTGACCACTCGCAGCTCTCTCCCCTGTGGCCTTGGCCACGTGTTTACAGGCCAATAAATGCTGCTCACCTTGGAGTTAATTCAAACTGTTTAAATTTATTGAGGATTAAGTTGACAGAGAAACCACAAGCTGAGCCGTCTGGCTGTGATCTCTGCTCTCTGTATGTTGGACTCTATGCTGAGCATTCGTGAGAACCACTGCACCTTGGCCTGTTTTGCATTAGGGGTTGAGGGGCCGCCACTCTGTGCCCAACGACAGGCTGCGACTCTGCGGAGCTTGAGGTAACCCAGCACTCACAGGTGTTTACAGCTGCATCTGTTTTGCATTGCACCACTCTGTTTTATCAAAACTGCAAGACTTCTCGCTTAGATTTAGCACATGCCATCCCCGCTCTCATGGCACATCTGCTTTAGTCGTCCCACCGCTCGCTCTGATGAGACGCTGCTAAAGCTAGTCCAGTAAGTCATGCTGTCACTGAGATCAGACAAAAGAAAATAGCACTCTAGCTGTGAAAAAGACCCTGAAGAGTTGAAAGGAAAATTGACCGGACATTCTTGTAAAATATAACAAATGTGGAAATAGCAACAGGGGAATTTAATGTTCCATGGTATAACTTTTTTTTTAATTTTAATGGAAGTTTTTTTTTTTTTTTTTTAGTTTTTGAGTGTGTTTCTCTTGTTATAAGCAGTATTTGAGCTAAAGTTTGACAAACAAAATGAGCTCATCTTTCACTGTCTTTGGGCCAGTTACCATGTTTGGGCTTAAACCGTTGTTAATCCCAAGTGCTAATTTAATATGTCCTGTGCCTGTGGCATTACTTTTAACTTTATGATCTTATTTCTAGTTACCTAAAATGTAGCTATAAATAAACTAGCTGTAAAATTTCTTTGCTATGTTTTGGGCTAACTTTTAGCTGTTTCTGAGCTGCATTAGTTTTTGCAATTTTTTTGCCATTCAAATTTTAAGCAGATTGTTCTTGAGCCAACTCTTTCTTTAACATTTCCACAAAAAGTTCAACTAACTTTTAGTTATTTCTCTGCAAACTTTTAGACATGGATTTTCAAATTAACCTGCTGTTATCTTTTGTGGTTGACTGTGAACTACAGAACCGTATATACACTTTGATTTTTAATTTTCATTATATATTTTGAATAACAGTTAGAAAATATTTTAAATGATGTCTTGGTTAAATGCAACTGTTGCCTCTGTTGCGTATTTTTTCCAAATTTATAAACTTTTGTTTTACTTTTACACAACATAAAAACAGTGTGGTACGCAGGCTAAACAATCAAGGTGACAGATTTCTTCTACACCAGCTATTCTTAAACCAATGTGCAGTCTAACTAGACTAAACACAGAAAGCAGTGACACGACTGGCGCTGTCTGGGTCATCACAACGACTCGTCGTCGTTTTTTTTTCTCTCCTTATCGAGTCGCTTTTATACAACTTTATACTTTTTTATATACCAGACTGAGATAAATTCAGTCTGGATCAGGCCTCTTTCAAGTAGGGTCAGTAAATCAGCCATGTTTCTGGTCATAACTAAAGAGTGTCCAGCTAATCCACCGCCTCCTCCATCAGATGCACATGTACATAAAACACAACCTTCAACCTGAGCAGGAGTAGCCTGGAGAATGCTGGGGCCCATTTCAAAGCAGCCCTGGACCTTTCACTTCATAAAACATTGTAACCCACACAGCAAAGAGCCACACAACCAGCGCAGCATCTGTGGTGAACATTTAAATGTGATAAAGAAGGCAGAGAAAGAGGCTAATCTAAGCATACTTACAGCCATTTGATGCCAGAGCAGACCTGAGACAGCAGCAGAGCCGTGAGCACACAGAGAGGCAGGACATGAGAGCTACTCCTCATGGTTGGACTGTAGCTCCAGATTACACAAGACGAAAAGGACAAAGCAGCGTTGGGCGTCTCGCTTCAGACTCAGAACTCAGCGCTCATGGCACGGCCTCTTCTTCTAAAGCCTGCAATAAATGCAATAAACATTATGAGTGAGTCTGTGCCGTGGTGGGCCAGCCCTGGATACATTTATGTTAGAACCACAGAGAAAATGTCAGAGCTGTAAATGCTCACGTGATTTAGGAGAGATCATTTCAAATGAGCAATTTAATGTTATTTAATTATCTGAATTATTTTGTGTTGTTCATACCAAAGAAAAAAAGTAAAGCACAATCTATGAAATGGAATAGTACCAGAATCAGTCATTCTGCTGTGTGGAGAAAATCATGATAATATCAACAGTCACAGTTCAGCTTTGGCTACGTGTAAATAAACATAACAGGATAAGAAAGAAGAAACCACAGCTGTATCAGTGGTGTATATAGAAGGTATCGTATATCACAGATGGGTAACAATTATAATGACATTTAAGAGACAGTTACATTTAAACAAAGAGGATTTATTTTTGGACAAAAACGTTGCACTCTTGGTTGTATTTTCACTGTTTTACTCTCGGTGTGAGCGGTAGATGTGGCCGCTGTTGTAGTCAGAAAAACAGAAGGAACTTTGAACAAAAACTGAGAAGGCAGATGGAGACAAGCTGAATAAGACTACTGTCAGAGGACAGATCTGGACAGGAAAGACTGAATGATAGAGAAGAGCATAGACCGGACTACAGACCAATAAGATGGTCAGACAAGAGGACAAAATATATGGACATGTAGGATTGGATCAGACAGAGAGAAGGGCAGACCACGGAGTCGGCCAGGGCAGTAGAGGTTTCTGATATGGGCGACATGGGCAGACGCCCAGGGTGGCATTTTGTCATGTTTTGTCATCTTGTAAACACGAGACATTTTTTCGGTTTGGAGTGTGGGGGGCTTAAACACAAAACTAACTGGGAACCAAGGTGAATTAATTTACATTGTTTTTCACTAAGGTGCAACAGAAATAAATAGGTTTTCTTCAGCGTGTTCAGATTATGTCAGTGGCTGCGTGGTGGTTGTCCAGGCGCCAAAGAGGCTAGGACTGACGCTGGGTCAGAGGACACACAAGATGAGAACCCAGGGCATGGACGGGGGGGAGGGGGGGACTAGAGGACAAACCAGATGGACAGGCTGTTGGACAGAGGACAGGCAGAGCTCAGGCCAGAGGCCAGATCAGATGGTCTGATCAGCTCAGCATCACATTATCAGATGGCCTGGGAGCACAGTGTTCACAGTGTTTGAAGTGCGTTACGGCTCTCTGATGGTAATGGACTTTCTCAGGGCGGCGCTATTGTCCTAAACACGTTTAAAAATGTGTGAAATACCTGCCGATCATTATTTAAATGGCCTCAGTGAAACCGTCCAATACACTGATACCAATGTTCCTCTGAGACAAGGGCTATACATGACAATGGAGTCATTTTAACACAGACTTCCTCCGTCTTCTGTACTTTTGGTCGCTGTCCCGCGGCAGAAGCGTTACAGGGCTACGTCACAGTCTTTAATAATGTAACGTCGTCTACGCTCCGTGGTTTACGGTCCATGAACAGTAACTGCAGTTTTCTCTGTAGGGGCCGACACACACGCCGTTATGTGTGTGGTTATTGGGCGTCAAGTGAATCATTACCTGCATTTTTATTACTAAACGTAACACAACAGGTAAACAGCAGAATATAAACCGTTTACATACTGACTGAATAAGAATTGTTTTTTTAAATTCAAGTAACACTTTTAATACTTAAATGATGAATACACATAATATTACACACGATGCAAAATTCATTTTTTTGAATTATTCTTGCCCCCTCTTTTATATTTGCCCCAAGACATCAGCGCTGTACGTGTCGCTTTATGCTCACAATAAATATTTTATACGATTGAATTGACGCTTTCGATTATTCTCTTTTCGAATTTAAATTTCAAGCGTTTTCTTTTGTTAAAATAAGAAGGATTTTTTTAATGGTAATAAAAAATATCTCGACCTAATCTGAGGTTCTTTTTTCCACCGAGTCACGTCTGTTAATCCACACTGCGTCTGCATTCACGGAATAAACCCACACTTTGAAACGTATCCATGGAGCACGAATACACACTACAGCCACTATGTGCGCAAACATATACCGTATTACTCAGTCTGTGCGCGCTCTGACTTCAGCTAAAACTAGTTGGAACTCACCTTTACAGCTGCGCCGAACACTTCAAATAGTAGAATTAAAAAAAAAAACAGGAGGTAAAGCAGGTGAAGAAAAAGTAGTCAAGTATCCTCTCCAGGCTGGGTGGATGGGGGTTCTGTGTAAAGCCTCTTCTAGTCTGTTTGGAAAGTAAAATCCAGCTCAGGGTCGTAGAGTAGCTCCGCACAGGTACGCATGGTGTGTGTGAGTGTGTGTCAGAGGGAAAGTGCTTGTACGAGTGTGTGAGCTCACAGTGAGTGAGTGAGAGAGTGTGTGTGAGTGAGTCGGGGCAGTCTCGTCTCTAAGTACCCTGCCCTGCTTTGATCTCACTGCTGATGTCAGACCTGCATTAACATAAGAAAGCGCGCAGCACCGGCTCCACAGCTCGGCCACTCGGAAACAGCCCATAATAACATAAGGCTGTGTTGCTGGATTGATGTCTCACTGAAGGTGCTCTGGAGAAGTACAGTAATATCCCCACAGGGAGCTGCAGTGAAGTACCGAGGCTCTGATGATGAACAGTGCACTCCGACATCCCAGCCATCATTAATACACTTCCATTGAATTCCTCCTAAGATTCCTGCAGATCCCACATGGCTCTTTGACATCAGTCTTCCCTAATTATGCCCTATCACCGACACAGACGCGATCGACCTCAGATTAAAATCCTACGGGTCTATAATGGTCCGTCTGGTGAACGTCACTGCAGCAGTTCAGAGCTGACAACCGTCTTAAAGTTGTGTTTATCGATGTGATAATATCGTCTCTTTATATGTGAAAGAGAAAACACATTTCATATCAGTATGTTACTGATATGAAATGGTTATTTTTTACCACTATGGTCCACAAAGACAACAAGGCTTTTTGTATTTCTACACTTGTTTAGCACGTGCGGAATTTTAAGCTTTTTTATATATATTTTAAAAATCAAGTAAAGTGGGAAATAAATATTTAAAATATTTTGATGTCTATAACTATTAGCTGTACGTTTTTTTCTTATACTGACCTGGTGAAAACACAAATCCGACTGTCTCAAAAGTTCTATTCTCCCTCTCTCCCTCTCTCGCTCTCTCTCTCCCTCACACACACAAACTGTACAAACTGTCTACAGTTACATAAAAAACAATGTTAGGGACACACCCGTTCTGTCAGTACCTGCAGTGAAATATAATGTGCTTTTAACATATTTTAAATGGAAAGACTATAATTTGAAAGCTTTACGGTTATCTGGATTCACTACGACTAGAACTCCCTATTTTATTGTGGACATTATAAAACAAAAGTCATATAATAAGTGTAACATAATATGAGGCTGTTATATACCCCCCTCCCTCCCTCTCTCCTTTTCCCTCCCCTGTCTCCCTCTCTCTCTCACACACACACACACACCTTCTATTCAGTTTAATTTTCTTTAAAATAATATTACATAAAGTATTTCCTGCACTAAATTATTTCCTTAAATGTGAACCACTCTGTAAATGATATGCTCCTGAATTAGCTGTGGGAACCTGAGGTAAAGTTTACCCTGGTGCACAGACAAGGCACCAGTGAGCGCTTGTCCAGACCTTGACCTTGCAATTGGTTTAGCTAACATTACTGGCCTCGTGCACTGCTGGCTGCTCCTGCGGGAGCAGCAGATCAGGTGTTGTCATGTCGTTTTCTGGAGCAGACACATTTACAGACCACAACAATCTCCCCTCCCATGTCTCCCCCCCCCCCCCCCCCCCAATGTATTTGCCAAACAGCGTCCGCAGCAGTAAAGTCTCACACAGTCCCATATGCACTTTATGTCTGTACGGTGGGGCTGTGATCCTGCCTGTAGAGGGAGAGAGAGACTCCGTGAGTTTTGTATTGCAGTCAACTGTGAATGGGCACAGCTCGGAGCTTGTGTGGGAGTTGCGGAGCTTCCAATGAAGCGGGCACATCTGCAGGCAAACTTTTTACACACAGGCTCTCCATTCCTGAGCCGGGATCAACAGGCAAAAACCTCCATCCTCACATCTCACATTCTGAGCAACGCGGGGGGGGGGGTCTTCTGAGAGAGGCAGAGGGGTCAGCCGGAGAACCACCGGAGTTCATGATAATGAAATAACTCATGTCACCCAACGGCAGACTCGGAACTGAGTTATGATAGATTATCCACATGTGAGATCAAAAACAGCTTGACGCAGGTAATGTTACACTGTCACTGTAATGAGCTCGTCACGTCATGTAGCTTAAAAAAAAAAGCTATGAAAAGTACACTCGTAAAAAGAAAAAACGATTTTAGTTAGCATAGTTTTAATTGTAAACTAAACTACTAAAATAACGAGGTTTTTTTTAGATTTAAAAACAAAAAGAAACAAATAGATTTAAAAACAAAAAGAATTCTTACAATATAATGCACAGGAATGAAAAAAAACCATTTATAACATAGTTATCTAAACAAACAAGGAAAACGTGGTCATTTTCAGTCGTGCGACCCACAGATTGACTGGTACGTTGTGATCTGAGTGAGCACAGTTAATATCAGGGAGGAACAGGTCCTGCGGCTCAGAGCACTCAGCCATTGTTCTTCCAATCTCGAGGGGATCCAGCCATTATCATGAGGCTCACTGGGTTGGTAGCAGTGGCGAGTCAGGGGGGGGGGGGGGCGCTAAGGACACTCAACTTTCATCCACAACGGCGAGAGGCTGAATGGGTGCAGAGTTACTATTATACCGGTGAAAACGTATCCCAGACTGTGAACAGCGTGCAGATAGAAGTGAACTGGTGTGAGACGTGCACTGTGGGGTCAGAGTAGAGAGAGGGTTTATCCACTCTGTAACTGTTTTTCCTTTGCTAAACATTTCCGGGAGATTTAGTAAAGTACATGCTAGGTTCCTTTCTTCAGACGCCAGTCTTTCATACGGCTACTATAAAGGTTTATTCTTTTTTGATGAAAAGGCAGAAATATGCAAAACTGCACGGATAAATTAATATAAGATTAACTCTCTGATGGAAAAGGCTCCTTTCTGACTTTGGTGCCTGTTCTCCATTACCAACTGAAGGCATCTGACCGTAGATAATGTCCCAATCAAAATTAAATCCAGCTCTTTGATTAGCAGCCATCATGAATGCAATAGAGCAAGGACTTGAAAGGGCACTTTTGAATGGAATCAATCAGTGAACCTTATCCGTAACGGTGTGTTTCCATTTGGCCTCTTATCTCCACCCAAACAGAGTCGGTCCTTTCTGCGAGCTGATTATTGACAAATAACGAGAACATTATGACAATCATAAACCCCACTCCAGCTGGGTACAAGAGCTGTCAGGTAGGACAAGTGAGACAGAACAGGCCATGTGAAAAACCCATCACCCTCTGATGTCCCTGCCGTGGTTCACAGTGGGGATCACCAAAGAAACAACAAGCTCCGTCCAGTCTGTCTCACTGGACCTACGTCTTTTGTGTACCATTTGTTTATAACCTCTGCCTCTATTGTGATTTGAGGCCAGAGCTCTTTCAAGTGACAGATGGGTGGCACCTTTGAACATGTCATGTGGTCCTCCATCAGAGAACGGTCAAAGCTGCACTGACCAGCGGGGTCATTGAGCTCAGGGTTAGCTGCAGTGTAGATGGTGATGCATTGAGGTAATGTCTTATTAAACTGACAGCTCGTCTCCAGAGTATCTCTGTTCTCAGGTAAATGAGACTATTTACTGCTTCAGTTTACAGTATGAGCTCCAACAACATCTAAAGAGTTGCAGGGGGAACCAGAGAACTAGGGTTAGCTCCAGCGGAAAAAAGGAAAGATGGAAATAATTATTGTTATTAATATTATTACAATTCACATTTACACCTGTGATTACTTTGGTGTCTCCTTGAGAACCAAATCCCTATACAAAAAGACCATCTATCTGAGGCAGCTGCAAACCAGTGACCTCCGTGCTGTGAGGCATCAGCACTAACCACCACGTCACCGTGTGGCCTCATAAAACAGTCATTAACTATTGCTGTGATGAAGCCAAACTGCTGCTACAATATATGGATATAATAAACCGGCAACACTAAGATGACACTTTAATACGCTGATGCTGGAAGCATGCTCTCATGTCACCAGGTAACAGGGTTTCAGTGGAGAAGTTAAACTTTGTTCCACTTCCTGTTTGAGCCGTATTGAATGCAGAGCTGCTGCTCTTATGCCTGCAGATTAGATCATGTTTATATAATCCTCCAAACTGTCCGGAGAGTTGTTATGATATTTACAGTCCACACACCAGCTGCAGGACATTATCTCTTTCTACAACACACTGCGCTATATGATGAATAAATTAAACACGCTTTCAGTAAAAAAAAAAATCAATGTTGCATCATTGATGGCAGTGGTTTCTATTACAGATGTCATCACACTGTGTGAACCTTTATCATTGTCTGCTCAGAAGGAGCAAAAGGTGTTGAGAGCACAAGGTGATGGGGGAGGAGTGGAGAACACCGTCCCATTGGGGTGAATCCAGTGTTGTTCCAATCATTTACAGGCATCTTTTCACCCGATCCCTCTGCTGAGCACAGAGCCGAGGGGAGGTATAGGAATCACATGGATAGGCACCAGCCCAGCTGCAGGCTTTTAAACACTACAATAGATAAATTGTGCTGATACATCTGTTCTTCATGAATTCAGCCCTTTTAGATTTTGGTTGGCAGAGGCGCGAGAGCATCAGAGCATCCTTAAAAATGATTAAAGCACTGTTCCTTCGGAATTTCAAAGGGATTTTGAATTCCAAGCTGCATACCCAAAGGCCTACTTCTGTGAAAAGTGCACAGGTCCAGAAAGGCAGACAAGCACTGTTTTGACAGGAGCCTTTTCCAAATATCAGATTGAATTTGTGGCCGGTCGTAAAATAATTGGTTTCAGTGTCTAGTGTTCAGATAATCCTCATAAACACCTCAGATCTTCTTTAGGACTGCCCCCCATATGATGTTCGCTTTTAAAGCCAAATGGTGAGAAGACTAGTGTTCCTTAAGGCTACAATCAACAACTTGACTGTGAAATAATTCAAACCAAAAGCTTCGCTCATGTGCTGTAAGTACCAAACGTCAGGCCAACTTTCCCCAAAAGAAATCCTTGAAATCAAATCCACCTCAGCCCTGTGTATTCCTGTCCAGGGTAGAGTTAAACCCTGAATGTGTATGGACGTGATTACTGAACACCACAAGTTTTACATCAGTGCAAAGCCTTGACTTCCAGCAGGAAACCTGCTGCACGGGTCAGTTATGTCCAGACCTTGTTTTTCTTGAAGATGGCGGATGTTGTCAGTGACGCCGCACCTGACATTCATCCAGTATCACTGCCGGTGTCTGCGCGTGTAAATAAATAAAATGTTGCCTGTAGGAATTACATGGACATATGGTTATTGCGAGTCGATGTGTTGCATGTGGCCGTGGGCTAGTGAAGCCCGCATGCGAACAGTGCTGCGAGGCAGATCCGTTTGCTCAGCAGCTGAGCGGGGGGACACGGAGATGCTCCTTTCACACTGAGCTGAACACTGACAATCAGGCCTTTGTCAGGCAGGCATCTGCTGTTAAAGCTCACAGGAAGAATACATGTCTGTGTAAAAAGTGCTCTCCGTGGGGTTATCGGTGTTACAGATCAGGAGGCATAAAAAGCATGTACATGCTGTAGCAACTACAGCAGCGTAGCCCTGTCTTATTACAACGCTAACAGGTGAAAACAAACTACATGTTGAAGCCACGCAAGCTCTCGTGCTTTTTTTTTTTTTTTGTTGGGGGGGGGGGGGGGTGGCAGGGGTTGTTAAAAAACTGTCAATTTATTTCACCAATTTGCAACCAATT